TATTCTGATGAGGTTTTGAAATAGTGTGAGCTACATTTTGACGACTAAGTGTAAGACTCGTTCATTCTTCATTTTCAACCCCTTCGTAGCCTATATGATGTACGCTGTTCGTCATTTTTTTTAAAGCGACGAACAAGCCAAGATGCTGCTGTGACGTACGGCGTTCATCATACCTTGGGAAGGTCGAGGACCATGATGACGAGACGGCGTTCGTCGTTGGTTGTATTCTGCATACTGTTTCTATTAGTTGCATTTCGTAAAATTAATCGCAGATTCGTATTTAGGAATATATTTCATCCGTACAAAGAAAATTTCTCCTTTTAGATATAGTCAGTAGTATTTGCAAACCGGGTCTAACTATAGGAAACTGACCACTAAATCTAGTGTTACTCTGTGTCCCTGGAGATGCAAAACTGTGCCCGTTGAAGCACGAACTACGTCACGTCACGAAGGGGTTAGAATGGTGTATGGCTGAGTCTTACACTGAGTAGCCATTTTGTTTTGAGTCAGAATGTGTATGCTTGGTTTCTTACTAAGCCCCCAGTGTCATTTACTCCAAAGAAGATTTATGGTGGATTGTGTTAGTCCATTCTTTTGTGCCACACTTGTTCCTCTTTGAAATATACAGTATAAAAATAGAACAGTTCTTTTGTTACCCTACTGCATAGAGAAAATGGAAATACAGAACTTATTCTTGTTATTTTATATCATTTTAAGGTGATAGCAGTATGGGGATTTTTTATCACTTGTGGGTTTTTTATCATTGCATGAGATGACAACTATTAAGACTAATAACTATTATGACTAATAACTATTATTTCACTCAAGTAACAGGCAAGAAATTAGCAAAGAACATTGTATTGATAAAACGTCCCTGTAATCTTTTAGATTAGGCCGTCTACATGTGTCATTATCACATCATAATGGTTTACTTCTGAATATAATATTTTTACCATGAAAATTACTCTTCTTCGAGATAGTTGAGTTTTTAGTGAAAAGTTCTTTCCTTTTTAATGTAGAAGAAGATTTAAATAAAATGCCATTTTCTTCGTGCTTTTCATTTCATTTGTGGTGACCTTTTTGCTATTCATTAGTTGGGGACTTTTTTCCAGCCTTCACAATGTAATAGAGGTGTGCTGTTTCACATTTTTATAGGTTATTTTTTAAAGAGCTTCCCGATGATATCAAAGTTATTACAGTCGTCTTATCCGTCTTTAGTCATCACCTATAGGGAGATATTTCCTTTATAGGTTTTTACAGTATCTCTCATTTACGAAGATCGAGTTGCCTTTGGGGGTGGCTGGTCCTTCTGTTACAGTACAGAGAGCATTGACCATGACTCCCAAGTTCTCGGTTTATTCTCAGCTAAAAAACATGTGTTCTTTGTACAATAGATTTATTAGAATATTAGAATTTCTTTGGGGGGGGGGGGGGATTGTAAGTCCAGTTTTCCACACATTGCGGGTAAACTCACGCAATTAGTTATCATATTATCTAATGCTTATGTGTCGGTTCAACTTGGACTTTCTATAAACTATAAGAAGGTCAGCTTTAATGGAAGTACATATTAATGGGTCGGTTTATCATCCCAATTGAGGCCAGGTTTTATTGTTGGTTTTGGAAAAGTGAGAAACATTGCAATAAATGTTGAAGAAATGGCAATATGGGCAACATTTACCTGGCCTCTGGGTTTACGTCTTTTTCTTTGTGTTCCCTTGCTGGAAAACTTTTTTGGATTTGAAACAGGGAACTGGTAGGACCTACTGCCCTCTAGATTCCACCCCCAAGAATTGTGAGACTGTGCTGCATAGTGTGAAAATGTCAGATGTTGCTGTCGTCGTCATCAATAACTATTTATTGTGTAGTCAGGATTTTGTTTCTATTCGCAGATGTAGATCTTTGTTACTCTGTTGTGGGTTGAGGGCATTGTGTGACTTTTCTAATCACTTCGATACCTTTTTTTTGGTTCTATTTATTACTTTCTTTTGAATTAAAAGTAGTCTTTTTAACGGACTATTCCATAGCGTAGTGGTATGCTAATATATTATGACCATTGTGACAATTTGAACTATTTTTTATTTGACTGGGGCCTGGGATATTCCGACTGATATAAATAAATTAACAAACTTGAATATTTCTGTGTTTTGGTTGTATTTTACTACCATGCCTATTGTTAGAGAGGAGAGAGAGAGAGAGTGTGTGTGTGTGTGTAACAGAGAGAGTGTGTGAGCGAGAGAGAGAGAGAGAGAGAGAGTGTGTGTGTGTGCGTGCGTGTGTGTGTGTGAGAGAGAGAGAGAGAGTGTGTGTGTTTGTGTGCGTGCGTGTGTGTGTGTGAGAGAGAGAGAGAGAGACGCACACAGAGAGAGAGAGAGAGAGAAAGAGGTGTAAATGTGATGCTTTGTGAGTACATCAGTGTATTTTGTTGTGTTGCCTTTTTCTTCGATTTCCTGACTTGGACCCAACCCTTTATCATGCTCTTACTCTGGGTGGTCAACTCGACGTCACCATAGTCATCTTAACCCTGTCACTCCCAAAAACAAACTAACAAACAAACAAAAAATGGCGTCATAGACATTATCATTTATATCTTTTTTGCTCGGATGTAACTGACATGTATGAAGTGTCAGTTTTCTGAAATTCTGTTTCTGTGATGATGTAACGGTGGGTGGTTGTCGGGTGCTCTGGTATGGTTTGCTACTTCTTTCCTATCAAACGTCTATCGTTTGTGTTTGTTACTCTCTTATAACAACACCTCTAATCTTCGGCACTTCTATGACCTTTTTGTGTTGCAAGTGCCGTTAAACTTCTACTAAAACAAGATGTTGTAACGGAACGCCGCCATCAACCGCAATAAGATGAACAAATAAGAAAAAAAAACAATATCCTTATTTTGCCAACAATAACAATGCCATTCTGTGACAAAGCAAAAGAGATACATTGTAGTAGAAATAACAGCTTTATTTTCTTTGTCCTTGTACATATACTTTCTTTTCTCTACAGTTCGGATTTCTGTCTCTTTGTGTTAGTGAAAGCATTGCTCTCCTTGCAGAAAAAAATGCACAATATAACAATATTATTGGGCTTTCAAAAGCGCTTGGTCAAGCAGAAATGACAAAATCGTTGTGTATTGAGAAGGATGATCCATAGTTCAGTGTTCAGAGGTATACGATATCAGACGTGGCGAAGTTTTCAAAGTGTTTTGTTTTTTTTAAGTCAAACACAATTTTCACTAGATCAATATAAAAACTAACAGAGTTAATTAAGGGTTTGTCATCAGTATATTAAATTGGACGCGAAGAATAAGATAGCTATACCATTCACTTTTCGCTCACGCAGTAAACAGTCAAGTTAGGTAGAAGAAAATAGTAATAATTTATAGTCATGTGTTATAGGTATTTTAAAATATCATATAATATGTGTATGTACATACATTTGATACTTATAATAAAGAAAGACTGTGTAATCATTCTACGGTTAGAAAAATGCATGACATTTTTTTCTGATGAGGTGGAAGAGATCAACAGAAAGAGACGAACAATGAGAAAATAACCATTACTGGTAATATCACAGGTGTGCTTGGTTCAGTAATTTGTTTTTCTACCGATGTCACCAAGAAAATAGCATAAAGGTCAGAAACGGAAAACTGTTCTCTCTCTCTCTCTCTCTCTCTCTCTCTCTCTCTCTCTCTCTCTCTCTCTCTCTCTCTCTCTCTCTCTCACCATTATCTGTCTTCTACTTTCGTCTTCAT